AGTTGTCCAGTATTTTAAGAAAAAAGTTAGCTTTTTTTTTTTTTTTTTTTTTTTTTTTTTTTGCGGGAGTGGGGGGTGTGGTGGTGGTGGTGTTGGGGTTTTTTTGTTGTTCTCAAAGCATCCAGCCTTGCTATCCAGAATGTATGACTGAGAGCTGTATACTAGAATAGGAGTTCCTCATCATGCACCCCAAATACCTCTTTAAATGTGTTTGTTTAAAGGAGTTTGAAGACCTGGATGAAATTGTTGCTCGCTATGTCCAGCCAATGGCTTCTTTTGCCAGAGACCTGTTGAATCACAAATACTATCAGGACTGCAATGGTGGAGACAAGAAGGTAAGCCTGTCCTGGGTTGTGGTAGCTTCTGTAGGAGATATAGAAGCATTATATAAGTTTTTTTTGTCTTGGGACAGGTCTTAAATTCTTTGTATCTGGCACGAGCTGCTGCTGGAATGAGCTCTCTGATCTTCCTCTTGTCTCTTGGGGCTTAACAGTCACTTTCCAGCTGTAGGTCTCAGGGAGATTACGTCTGGGAGCAGTGGAGTTAGGAGAGCACTGGGAGTGTGGTGTGCTACAGCGGTGTGCCAGAGTAGCAAAGAGTTGCCTTGTCAGCAGATATCACTGAAAGGAGAGTAATTGGCTTTCGGTGACCTGGCGACATTTGTGCACCAACCCTGCACAGTAGACGCTGCAGTTGGTGGTCCTTGTTGGATTGCCAGCATCAGGGCTGGGGGGAAAAAGGGCCAACCACAGCATGGAGGGAGATATCCATAGGCTCTGTGCGTTGCTGAAGATGTAGGCTCTCTTTGAGCATTTCTCTTCTTTCTCTCTCTAATTAGAAGCTGGAAGAGCTGCTGATAAAGACCAAGAAAGAGAAGCCAACGTTTATTCCCTATTTTATCAGTGCCTGTAAAGATCTACCTGGCAAATTCCTCTTGGGATATCAGCCTCGAGGCAAACCAAGGTAAGTGAGAGGCAAGCCCAGCATCTGCAGCTGAGTACTGCCAGTACCACACCTCAGCTTATTGCTGCCAGTTTTTCTTCCAGCTCTGTCAGTATCCCCATAAGTCATGCCTTCCCTTACCTAGGGTTTGGACAGTAGAGGACTCATGTCTAGCAGTAAATCTCATGCAGGAGACTCCTGTGTTTCTAACCAGCTGGCCGCTACCAGCAGCACTGCCCTGTGCAGGGGGTGTCACAGGAGTATAGGCAGTGATTGATTTTTGCATAGAAAAGCATGGTATTTTGGAACAGTTGTTTGAAAACAAAATGAAAGTGGTTTAACTAGGTCTGTCTGTTCGTTATCAGTACGGATGCTGCCCGAGTTTGTTAGTGTGAGGGTGCTGTACAGTGGCAAGTGTGGCTCTGAAGCAGCCTGTGATCTCTTGTGCTCTTCTGCGTTCACTGCTCCTCACAGGATAGAGTATGTGACAGTGACGCCAGAAGGATTCCGCTACCGGGGCCAGGTCTTCCCTACGGTGAACGGTTTTTTAAGGATCATTATCAGGACCCTGTTCCAGGTGAGCACCCTAAAACTTGAATGCCTTAGTTGTTTGTTTCCTGGGTGTCACACAATAGGGACAGTTATTAAACGACAATTTCGTGTTCTTTGTCCTTGAAATATGTCCTAGGATTTTCTATATGGGGGAAGTTTTGAAGTAACACTCAAGTGTTTGGCTTCCATGGACCCACTGAGAGCTCTCCTGAGAGTTAATCTTTCAGCCAAGTGGGCCATGTAGCAAAGGCTAGGTTTGTCCCTTTCCTCTCCCTTATCCTCTCCCACCAGACAGTCCTGCACACACCATTCCCTTGTAACAGAGCGTTTGGCCAGTGCAAGTGTTGCCTGCATTTTTTTCGAATCCCAAGTTTCAGGCCAATAGTTGCTCTTCTAGGAGAACTAATCTAACTGTCTTGGTTTGTATTTTATACAGGTATTACCCCCAGCAGTAGCAGTCGGACCAGGACTCCAGCCTCCATTAATGCTACTCCAGCTAACATTAACCTGGCAGGTCAGTGCAGGCCTTTCCTGGTTGGAATCAGGCTGCGAGCTCCTTCTCCAGGCTCTGCTTTGTCTAACGTGATGGGTCTTTCTTACAGACCTGACCCGTGCAGTGAACGCTCTACCACAGAACATGACTTCCCAGATGTTCAGTGCCATCGCTGCTGTGACAGGCCAGGGACAGAACCCAAATGCCACCCCTGCGCAGTGGGCATCCAGTCAGTACGGCTATGGAGGCAGCGGAGGCGGCAGCAGCGCGTACCACGTAGGTGTCACTTAAGTTTCTGACAGAAGGTGCTGCAGGGCTTCTCCTTGCTGCTAGAAACCATCCCATGGGGGCTCTACTGGAGGACTAAGGGGTTCTCTTTGCCTGGGATCATCCAGTCCCAGTTGTGTAGCCGTGGTGCTGCACGGGGGAGCCTGGCTGGATTCTTGGTCTGGGTTTCTTCTTGCCTCCTGTGGCTGAGGAAATGAGGCATGTAATACAGCCCTGCTCTGGGGAGAGCTGAAGCAAGTAGCAAATTGGTCTGGCCCCCAAGGAATGTGGCAGAGCGGGGAGGTGGGATCCAGCGGTGAGGGCACACAACCTTCTGATTGTGCCCCTGAATTGGCAACGTGAGCTGCCAGTGGAAGAGATTAGCTGTGAAACTATGCGCTGAGTTTGCAGGGCTTTTCAGCTCAGCGTGCTAATCTCCGAGCTGCACCGGCAGGCGAACACCTCAGCCTGACTGAACGCCCAGAGGCTTTGCAGGGAATAAGATGGAATTGGACGGCTTAGGCTCATGCTGAAGCCTTTCCTCATGTGTGCTGGTGCCTATCTCCTGCCAGCCCACACTGCCAGCTCCCCAGCTGACACGGAGACTAAATCCAGCTGCAGGACTGAGGTGCCTGGGTACAAAAACCACACCCAGCCATTAGAGAGATTTAATGAAGAGGTGCTGCAAGACAAGGCTTGCAGGGAGGAGTGATCCTCTTTTAGACCACCTTGGGAGGCTTTCATGGAGTTTGGCACAGTAAGCGCTGAGCTGGGGATAGGCAGGGGCTGTGGATAACCCAATGTGTTAATCATCAAGACAATCTGAAGGAAAAGGGAGGTGAGCACCGGGAAGCAAAGAGACTAAGCACTCTGCTGGACAAACAGTGGGCCAGCCAGCTTGGTATGTGGGAGGGAGCCATCTCGGGAGTTGCTGTGCCTTCTCTGCAGCCCAGAGGGGAAGAATTCATCTGTTCTTCATGCCCACTGCAGGATGTCATTTCTGCTAGCTTGCCCCAAGTGTCTCTTGTGCCCATCTCTTGCGGCCCTCACCTTTGCTTGGCTTAAGCATCTCCCCTTGTACCCTGCGTGGGGTGAACAAGGAAGGCAGGCTATGGTGGCCCTGCTGGCCCCGGTTGGGTGGGTGATCGGGGACTCTCAGGGGAACAAATGTCCTGTGCTCAGCAGGGTGTTGCTCCTCCTGCCCTGCAGCCCCCCCCCGTTCCCTGGGCAATGGTCCCTGCAAACCTCTCCTTTGCCCAGACGAGCGGCTCCAGCAGGGCTGGGGGTGTGCAGCAGGGGCATGCAGCAGCCTCCTGGGCGAGTAGGGCAAGGCAGAGCCCCGCAGCCTAGCAGGGTTTGCATCTGTCCCTTAACAGTATCTGCTCTCTGCAGGTCTTCACGACTCCAGCACAGCAGCCGGTGGCCACCCCTCTGATGACCCCCAGTTACTCTTACACTACCCCCAGCCAGCCGATTACAACACCCCAGTACCAGCTCCAGGCCAACACCACGCCTCAGTCCACCCAGTCCCAGACACAGTCGCAGCCATCATCCAGCTCCAGGCAGAGGCAGCAGCCAAAGTGAGTGGCTCCGGCGTTGCGTGCACGTGTCCATCTGTGTCCCGTCTTGATTGCTTTTGTTGATTTTTGTGGAACCAGTGTGGTGGGGTTACTTTGCACTTCCCTGCATGTGGGACCCTGAGGGAGGTAGGGCAGGGAAGCTCTCCCCGTAACGTGTCTCACCTCCTGCCCATGTCGTTGCAGGACCAACAGTCACGCTGCGATCGACTGGGGGAAGATGGCCGAGCAGTGGCTCCAGGAGAAGGAGGCTGAACGGAGGAAACAGAAACAGAGGTTGACTCCTCGCCCGTCTCCCAGCCCCATGATTGAGAGCACGCCCATGTCCATCGCTGGGGATGCCACCCCACTGCTGGATGAGATGGACCGATAGGCCGTGCTGGACCTGACGTGTAACCTCCGCTCTCCCCTCGAGGAAGGGGAAGGGAGAGTGAACAGTTGAAAACAACTTCCCTTCCCTTAGCCACATAACTCCTGTTTTATACGTCATGAGATGGTGGGAAATGACTCTTGGTGACGTGCACCTGAGCAAATGAGTAGACTTGGCAGGGCTGGTCTAAGTATATGTACTATATATATATAAATATATCATAGGAAGGGATGCTGCAGCCACCTCTGCATTCCAGGCCTGGTTCACCACTTTGGAAGCTCGGCAAAGTAATTATGAGGTCAAACGAGTCTGTCCTCGTACATGCACAGCAGTCTGCTTTCACCGCAAAGACTAGGAAGCAAACATAGCTGAAAGTGCAGACCATCAGCCTGGAGCGAGCCTGTTTCAGTTGGATTCTCCCAGACCCTGACTGTCACCTCTCCTTGCCCTGAGAGCACAAACCAAAATCACAGGGGTTGTGACAAGCAAACCGGAGTTCTCAAAGTTTCTGTTGTTGTTTGCTCCGTGGTTTTGTGTGTAACAGGCTCTGCGGAGTCTGTGCCGACCCCCAGCTGTGTTCGTAGGGGTCTCGGGGTCTTGCCGGAGAGAAATGCAGCTGTCATACCAAAGGCTTGCTCTCTCCTCTGGCTTCTTTTGGAACAATATTTATTTAGTTTTGATTTTTTTCTTTTTTTAAAAAAAAAAATCAGACTGCGAAGCAAAACACCAACCAACGGCGGCTTTCCCGAGTGCGGGACAGACACGTGGGCTAAAACACTGCAAGAGCAGCCGCTCCTGTGGTGGAGAACGTGAAGCAGCCGGGAGTGCATGGCATCCTCCTCCGCATCCGCTTAACCCTGCCCAGTTGTAACCAAGAGGGGTGAATAAATAGTGTTTCTACTGAACGCTGGTTGAGAGGTTTTCTGCCTGCACCCTGGGCTGCCTGCCCGCCCTCTCCTTTTAGCAATGGATTTGCTTAGAAGCAGAGTTCAGTGGTGAAAGTCGATGCTGCTTCTTCCCTTGTTGCTCGGAGTTGCCCTCTGTGTGCTGCAATTTTCACAGAGAAGCTGATTCCTGTTGAGCTGGTAAAGAATAATGTTTTGTTTTGAGTGTGTCATATAGAGACATCACATCGACATCTGGGGCACCCCACCCCGCAGGAGAGGTACTGGGGGGCCTGGGAGGGGGACAGATAATGCAGATAACTTCGGTCATGTCAGAAAAAGCCCACTGCTGTATATTGCAGAGCTCTGAGAGACATTTCTGAACTGGAAAGTTCCTGCTGCACACACTTTCCTCTCTCCTGCTTTGTTAGTAGGGATTTTCTGTGGAAGCAGGGTCTTTGTTCCTTCCAAGTGCTCCTGGTTAGCCTCCTCTCGCTAGGAAATGAGCAAGAACAGCAGATCTTAAGAAACAAAGATCTTTTTTGCATGTAAATGCTCCTGAAGAATGGCAGCAACCCGGGAGACAAAGCAAAGCTGTTTCCACAGAGAAATGCAGGTCCTGGCTTCCTTGCCATCTCCTCTGCAGTCCCGGGGAGGGGGCTGACACAGTCCTGTTCCTCCCCTGCAACCGCGCAGGCTGTGCCGGAGGAGCGTGGCCCAGGGCCACGGCTGCCGTAGGTTGCAGGTGTACTAACCTTATCCTATTTTTTTATTATTTTATGAAACTCCGTATGACAGGAATTTGGGAGCAGCTCCTTACCAGGGATGTGTCGACCCATACGGGGCAGGGGGCTAGTTGTGCGTCGTCGGCTCCTTTTTGGCTGTCTTTGTTTTTAGTTTTTCCCCTACCGTCAATAAAAATTCTACTTTTGGGAAGCTGCCCGCATGCCACATTTTGCTTCCTCCAGTGACGCTGTGGCTGCCGCAAGGACTTTGCACCCATTAGCAGTGCTCCAGAGGGTGCGATGCCTCGCTACAACCTTGGTATTTTCCCCCTTGGGCTCTTGTGGTCCGCTCATTTCAGGGATTTCAGGTTGCACCGCACGCTCCTCTGCGAACAGTGGGGTTCACACGGGGCGGCTCTGCTCTCCGGACCTCAGTGCCATCTGATCTCCCAAGGCTGTGTTGTGGCAAAATAGGAGACAGCATTCGGCTCCTGTCACTCCAGCTTTTTGTGGTTGTGGAATTTGATGCTGGTGTGGGAGGATCTTTGTACCGGTCTCACTGGATAGGAGAGGGGATGCTGGGTCAAGCCACACTCCTCTCTTGGAAGCGTTTTGCAGGAGTTGGTGGCCGTGCCGTGTCTCTGGGTGCTGCCCTCAAACTCTTGGCTACAGGAGCCCGGTTATCAACGAGGGAAGGAGTCGGGCCACGATCACCATCCCTCAGGCAGGGACACGGACAGCTTGCCCTGCCCCTGCCTCTCCCTGGGCAGCATCTGCCTTTGTCCCAGGCCTGGAAAAGCTTCTATTGTCCCACTCCAAAGATCTCTTGTACGGAGTTTGAGAAGCCTGCGGGGAGGGACAAGGCCCCCGTTCCTCCCAGAGCAGCCCCCGTTGCTGTTGCTGGGGACTGGAGGAGTCGGTGCTGGTGTGGGAGCACTGGGAAAAAGTTGGTTAAGTTGAGGAGAGGGATGGGGTGGTGCAATTCATGAGCTGGTCCTCCAGAGAAATACAACCCTGGGGAGCCAGAACTTAACCCTCTGTAGCAGAGGAGGGGTAAAATCAGGGCTCTGCCCTGTGCCGGCGTGGGGACGGGAGCTGTGTCCCCAGCCAGAGCAGGGTCTCGCTCTCCCCCGTGCCCAGGACGATGACAGGAGCTGGTGGGAGCGGTGAGGAACAGCTCCAACCCACCCAATACCCACCCGGCTCTGGGTGCTCCCCTCCCGCAGCCCCGCAAGAGGGATCAGCCCCAGGATTTCCCCTGGATGCCACCCCCCAAGGAGCGATCCTTTCTCCCCACAGTGACAGGGCAGAGGCCACACCATCTGCTCGAGCGACCAACTTTATTGCACAGCCAAGACCCACGCGGGGCAAGGGAGCAGTCGGGGCCGCAGTTCTCACGCAGGCTGTGCCTCAGCTTCGCTTTTCAGCCTCTTCTTTCTGTTTCTCTCCTTCCTCCTCCTCTTCCCACTGGCAGTGGGGACCAGGGATGGGGTGGCCGGCTCTGGCTCCTTGCCCAAGCCCTCCTGCGCCGGGGCATCGCTCAGGACGGTGTTGGCTGCTTCCCCCAAGTCTGGCAACAGGGCCCGTGGGTCCTGCCCAGTTTGGGCAGCGGCTGCGGGACGGCTCAGCTCCCCGTTTTCAGAAGGACCTTTCTTTCTCAGACCTTTCCTCTTCTTTTTCTTGTCTTTCTTCTTCCTCTTCCTCTCTTTCTTGGCTGCCTTGGGGGGGGACAGCGGGTGGGCAGGCACATGATGCTCCACTGGGACGGCTCTTCCACCCACGCTGCTCCAT